GTATCCATCATTACTAATATATATTTTTATAACTCAACAAGAACACACTACGCAGAGTGTTACACTATAGAGACAATGGAGTTATACGCTGAGCAGATAGGTTTAGATTGTGTTTATAAAAGGCGATCATAATATCTATTAAAAAAAAAAAATAACATCAGAGAAACGAGACTCAGAAGCATTTGATCAGGGAGGGCCAGTGTGCCGAGTTACAGGTACTACCACACGATACTCTGAATGGTGTACTGTAAATTGTCGCCAGTGTATATTCGTCACCTTCCACTCGCTCACCCAACTCGTTATTCACCGGCGAGTTGATAATTCCACCCACAGCAACGAGTCTAACAGCGAGAGAATGTTGTCCTTCCTTCAGCATCTGTGAGAATGTTTACCATGCAGCTACTGTACACCTGTTGCCTCGTCTGAATCTCTATATTAAGACAACTTGTGTAGAATGACGATCAGGTCTCTCCTCTCACTGGAATATAATACTGAAATAATTAACGACACACGCACGTAGACTGGGCCAGGTGACGCAGGTAAATTGGATGGTATTAGTGAAGGATTGAGTCAGACGTTATTTACCTGTATAGCGTCTTCATCAGTCTCAAGTGCACCCACCCACCCACCCACCCACCTGCCCACCCACCCACCGCTTCTTTTACTGCCTCGATCATGCACTCCCTGCAGCCACGTCTGAACAGGGTTGCCACAAGTAATTGGGGCAGACTGCGGGTAGTATGGGTTGAAACAAGGCTGAGGTGGGGGCAGATCATGTACGATTGAAACAAGTACCGAGGGGGGGGGGGACAGATCATGGGTAAGAATGGGTTGACACATGACACAAGGGGTTGTCAGTAAGGGTCATTAGTGCCGTTAACTGTGTCTGGTGGACACACTTGACCTCACGTCCCTGTAACTCTATAGCTTAAATGCGCCCGAGTGTGTGTGTGGTGAGGGATGTAGTGGTGGTGGTGTGTAGTAGCAGTAGTTAGTAGTAGCAGTAGTTAGTAGCAGCAGTAGTTAGTAGTTAGTAGTAGCAGTATTTTTTTAAGATAATAAAATGGTGGCGAAGGTATGGCTAAAAAGGGAGGATGGAGGCCATTAAAAAATAGTAGTAGTAGTCGTAAGGTTTTTACTATTGATGTTTTCCTGTACAGCCAAACCTAACCTAACCTAACCTAACCTAACCTAACCTAACCTAACCTAACCTAACCTTACCTAACCTAACCTTACCTCAACGTGTTAAAGAGTCATTGAGGAGCTCGTGTACCTTTGGAAGAGAGAGAGAGAGAGAGAGAGAGAGAGAGAGAGAGAGAGAGAGAGAGAGAGAGAGAGAGAGAGAGAGAGAGAGAGAGAGAGAGAGAGAGAGAGAGAGAGAGGAGGCAAAAGGTCGAATTTTCCTCCGCTATTTAAACCAAGAAACACATCTGTTTACTTTGTTACGTCACAACACAAAACATCCTCCTCTACTAGCATGATTTATAATGTTTTTTTTGTTTTCAGATATATTAAGAAAATAGAATAACAAACCATGACACACACACACACACACACACACACACACACACACACACACACACACACACACACACAGTATATACAGGAGCCATCACCGCCTACCACAACAGGTGTACGAGCCATCAGAGAGGTGTGCCAGGTACTTTATTGCTATAGTAGACAGGTGTTCAGGAGTAGTGTAGATCCGGCAGTTAGTTGGAGGTGATAGTGTATATCAGATGTAGGTGATGGGATTTTAATTTCCCTCCTTCGACCTCTCCCTCCTTCACCGTGCCATCCACCACTCCTCCCCCATCACCCCATTCTTCCTTCACCCTAGTCCCCCATTCTTGTCCTGCAGGTCCTCTCTCTTCACCCACTCGTTACACCCACCTCGTACATCCACACCCACTTATGACGAGCGGAGAGAGAGAGAGAGAGAGAGAGAGAGAGAGAGGAGGTTGCCAGGCGGTGGAGACGTCCAATGTCTAGTGGCTACTTGACACTTCCGCCTACACAATGTGACCTGCTGTGTCCTGCACCGTGTGGCAGACAGTGAGGCTGTGTGTGTGTGTGTGTGTGTGTGAAAGAAAGAAAGACAGGGGAAGCTATGGAAAGAAGGTCTGGAAGTCGTAGAGAGTGAGAGAGAGAGAGTCACTTCTACCCCCTCACCTCACCCTCCATCACCTCCTCGCGACAATATATAATCAACTCACTATATTATGACACTCAAGGAGGAGACGGGTCACCACAAAGGATGAGGCAACACATGGAAGCCTGAGAGCTGAAGAGACCAAGAGACTTTATCAGTGATCAAGTCAATGTTGCGGGATGAAATGTGACTCTGAGATGACAATAGGCGTCAGAACTTACAGTATCTTGCACCTTTAAACAACAGTGAATATACATCAGTTTTAAGATATATTTATGACAATGAATCTGTTTAACCTCATCACGAAGCACAAGTTCACTCACGTCTAAATTATTATGCAACATTTTCCCGGATGACCTGTCTCTCCCCCTCCCCTCCCTCTCACCAAACCATCTTATCCTCAACCACTGTGTGAGACGAGCTGGATGGTGACTCTTCTCTAGTTCAGACACCACTCATGAGACAGGACCTGACCAATGAACACAACACAACATACCCCGGAGATGGGTAAACCAGGTACTGTAGTGTTTACCTTGACACTATCAACGCCGCCGCCTGTGCTGGGCCCCTGAGTGACGGTGTTGGTGTTGACACTCCCGCTGGGGAAGTACATCATTATTAAGAGATCAAAGTTCTCCAGCACATGTCGACACATCTCAAACATAGAGGTTCCCAAGGTGTGATTGCAGGAAACTGCATCTTCAAAGGGTCAAGGATGAGGAGTAGCAGTGACGGAGTCTTTGTCAGGTTGGAGTGGGCAGTGAGGCTGAGGACTGAGCTGAATTGTGGCATACTGTACCTTCAAGAGGGAACCTGAATAGCAACACAAGAGAACCTGGAAGTAAAGTCTGTGGTTGTAAGTGTGCGGGAAACTGTCCCAGGAAGCTGTGGTCCTTGTTGAGGGTAGTGTACAGTACACCGCTGCACCAGGACCTGCCTTGTAGGATAACAGTCTACTGTAGGTCCACTTGAGGGCTGACAAGGGGTGAGTGTGAGGGAGGTGTTGCTGCACACCACCTTTGTCCTGCTGTCGACCCCTCAAGCACCGCCGCTCTGGCCAGACAATAGAGTGTGGTTCAGCACGGATGCTGGACGTTATGTGTGAGGCACAGTGAGTACAGCCTCGTGAGGTACTGTACCACGAGGAAGTGTTTATACTTCACCTCCCCTCCGCTAGTGCCTCCTTAGGCAATCGTCTGACCCGTGGGCTGACTGTACCATGGAGCTGGAGTACGGGTGACTTAGGGCATCACTGGGGAGCAAGCGAGTGGTCATGTTGCTGACGTCATCCACCAACTTTTCACAACAATATATTCTGCCGCCGCCGCCGCCACCACCACCACCAGGTCAAGAGTGAAACACTTTAGTGGGAAAGAAAACATTGCAGCAACAACTACTTAACATGTCAAACAAAGAATTCCTCACATGGGGCCGTCCACACCTTTAAATACTATCACCTAGTTGTCCTCAATAGTGTGGACTCAAGAGGGACAATAAGTCACTGAGCAGCGGGTCCTACACACCGCCGTCAGGAGTGGCCAGAGCTACTTGAGGTGGTGTCAGGTCTCAAGCAGACACTCCAACCTACACCATAATACAAGTGCTACCTGGAAGACCCACTGAGGCCGACGTCATCGTATTAAGATTTTCACGAATCAAAAGTTTCACCAGGTGTTATTAGGACACACCAGACGTGTAGTGAACTGACTAGTGTGTAGGTTGGTGAACCACTGTCAGCTTGGTGGGCCACTGTAAGCTTGGTGGACCACTGTCAGCTTGGTGTGCCACTGTAAGCTTGGTGGACCACTGTAAGCTTGGATTATCCTTAAACAGTTTCCAAGTCACTGAACACATCTTGATGATGATGTAATAATTCCTAAAATTTGAGGAGAACTTGACGTTGGTATGAGTGGCCAGGAGGTGGGACTCGTACAGTACTAGGTTAGGTAACCGTGTGTGAGGCAGCAGGACTTCGTTTTATTACTTGTATAAATATACGTATAATGCCGTGATGTCATGTGATGGTGGTAGTAATAGTAGTAGTAGTAGAAGTAGTGGTGGTGTCCTTCTCTCTCCTTCGGTCGGCTTTGCTCTGCCTCAGGGGAACGAGAGCATCGGCCCCAAAGCCGACAACAGTTGCTGATATTGACTATGAGGCTACAGTCACTGAATGCCGCATAGATCTGTGGCTCAACTAATTCAACACAGCTAGGATAGCTACTTATGTATTAGGATATTTAATTTTAAGGTAATAAAATGGTGGCGAAGGCTGGAGGCTATTTAAAAAAATGGTAGTACTAGTAATGGTGGTGGTGGTGGTGGTGGTAGTATTAGTGGTGGTAGTAGTGGTAGTGGTGGTAGTATTAGTGGTGGTAGTAGTGGTGGTGGTGGTGGTGGTAGTATTAGTGGTGGTAGTAGTGGTGGTGGTGGTAGTGATGGGACAGTCGGTGACAGGCGCCGACCAATTAGGAGTGACGGGCCATTATTTCTTCTCTTTGTGATAATCAATACCTTATTAGGCTCACCAGTTTCTGAATGAAAAACTTAATTAGTGTCCCCAGTGTAATTTGAGACTTTTTCCGCACGGTCAAAACCAGTAAGTGGCTGGCCAATGAGAGCTCGAGGTGGGCGGAGTATATACAGACTCTCCACCAACCACAGACAAGCCAAGGATAAGATAATGATAACAAACTCTACGATAAACATTTTCATTTATTAATTAAACAATAAATTTAAAATATAAGGAAGTAAACAATTAATGATAATGCCGATATAAAATGTGTAAAATAAGTGAGGAGAATTGGTGGCACCTTGCGGCACCACTACGCTCGCTGGTGGTGGTGGGGAGGGTCGAGGAGTGAGTGAGGGGGACGCGGCCAGCCAGAGCGGTGTCAGGCAGGCCAGGACCAGCACACCAGACAGTGTAGTGTGTCCACCACCACACAGACACACACGTGTGCTACACTCTGTCACGGTACACCCACACAACTCACCTCACCTCCTCATTCACCAACCCACATCCTACATACAGTACCCGGTCCTCTACAACCCTCACAACACCTGCAGTATATTGTAACTGTGTCGGCGATAATCCACAACAGACCTTTAAACCTATAGGGGGTTGTTGTGTTGTGGAGGATGAGAGTTACCTGGTGCATGACGGAACATAGAGCTACCTGAGGCAACATTGTCTCCCCAGATAAGAGACCTGTGTTGCAGCATACTGGTAACTCGTGGTGCCAGTGTGCCGCTCGTCTCGTGGTTCAAGTGTTAATCACGTGTATGAATCCAAGAAATATTATAAAATAAACTCGCCAGAAAAAATTATAACGCCTGAAGTTGACAGTGAAGGTGAGAGTGAGGACAGTACAACACAGTGGTCAGAGTAGCGAGGTTGTCTGAGGAATCCCTAACATAACGATGAACACTACAGCAGCAGCCCTGGTGTATGGGGCGGGCGCCACCAACGAGAGCATCAACAGCTTGGGTGAAGGTGTGGACGGCTCCAACAACTCGGCAGCCCCTATCATCCACTACCCTCGGTCAGCCACCATCTTCGCGGCCGTCGCCAGCGTCATCTTCATCATCGTGGGCCTCGTGGGTGAGTGTTGACATGTTGTGTTACTGTGTCGGGGCGAGCCACTGTGTAATGCCCACCAGGTGACCAGCCTATAAATTATACACCTATTTCATTCATTATCTTTAACTACTGTGTCAAGTGACCTAACTAAGGGGAAGATGCTTACAGTTGTGTAGCCCTCCCCCCCTCCACACACACTGAAGAGTAATCTACAGGCCTCAGAAGATAAACTGCTGCAGAAGCACTTCCTGTCGTGTGTCGCATGATAACTTCGTCAGCAGGAACTTGACATCTTGCTGACGTAATATTAGACTGCTCATATAGGATTTTAAATGCCTGTCCCGGCGTGTCCTGTTTGGCAGTCCTAAAGTCTCGGTAGCTTATTTCTACAGTAATTTGAGTCACCTACCGCAAGTCGTTTTCCTACATTGTGTTACTGTAGGTGAGGTGCGGTGAGGTCCGGTGAGGTGCGGTGAGGTGCGGTGAGGTGAGGTATGTATTACTGTAGTAGTCCAGGTAGAGACCACCACTTGTTTACCTTCTTTTATAATATGGTAAACATTGTCTCCTCTTAAGGATCTTCTCTCCAAGGTTCTTTAAGATAACATAAAGTCACTGGAGAACAATAAGAGTTTAAACCACACAATAAACTGATTTTGTCGCAACTGGTAATATGCAGCCTCATTTTTTTGTACTAAATGGCTGTTATATATCATGCAATATTTCCAGCGTATTATATTAAAAACTGGAAATTTTGTAAGTCACCGCGCCAGGGGGGAGGGGGGTGCCACCTGTTGCTTGGCGGGGCGGGGGGGGTGGTGGGTGTTTCTCTCACCTGCACAGACTAACTCGTGTGAGACGCAACTCCCGTGTCCTGCATGATACTCCCACCTGCCTCATTACCACACAGTCACACGCACCACCACTCTAGAACACCGCCCTTATTAGGTTCATGACGCAATGTGTTGGCGGCTCTCAAGGTTGTGTGTGACCCAAGACCTCTGACCATGTGGGAGGAGGAGGTGATATGTGATACCTGTCTACATTCCCTGCACATTTCTTTTTTTTTTTATCAATTTAACACCAACACACACCTGAACCATATGACGCTTCATTCAATAAAATATCTTCAAAAAAACAAAATAAAGAGGACAAGATATTAGGACTGAGCAACACAATCCATTTAATACGTAATGTTGGCCCTCCCGCATCCTCCTCCTGTTGGCCCTCCCGCATCCCCCTCCTCCTCACGTCATTCAATCTTTTCCCTTTCCGTTTTCCTCCTCCTTCGTCTTCTTTGGAGATATAGAATCCCGAGAAATAATTCAGAGGCGAATGACAAGACGAATCTCGGGCATAAGGAACCTTGAGTACAGAGACATGTAAAAGCATCTTAATTTGCACTCCTTCGAGAGACGTAGAGTGAGGGGCGACCTGATAGATGTGTATAAATGGAAGTCAGGGCTAAACAAAGGTGATATAACAGAGGTACTCAAACTATCCAACTAGGAGAGAACTCGTAACAATGGTTTTAAATTAGACAAATTTAGATTTAGGCGCGAAATAGGTAAACGTTGGTTTGGAAATAGAGTAGTGGATGAGTGGAACAAGTTACCAAACATCATCATTAACTCGAATACGCTGGAAAGCTTCAAACATAGGTTGGATGGATATATGAGCAATAGGGGTTGGGTGTAAATGGGACTGCCCAGTATGGCCCGCTGCAGTTTCCTCCATTCTTATGTTCTTATGTTTTCCTTATCCTCCGGACCGTTCTGGCTGATGGTAACTATCTCATTGGTGTCGATCTTGTTATAGTGTGTTTGTTAATTACCTCTTTTACTTGTCTACCTTCAGTGTCCGGATACTAATTAACACCGGTACAATATTTACTACACCTGTCCTTATTTATCTCTACACCACACCTGGTCCACAACCCCACGTGTCAACCACCGCCCACACCTGGTCCACAACCCCACGTGTCAACCACCGCCCACACCTGGTCCACAACCCCACGTGTCAACCACCGCCCACACCTGGTCCACAACCCCACGTGTCAACCACCGCCCACACCTGGTCCACAACCCCACGTGTCAACCACCGCCCACACCTGGTCCACAACCCCACGTGTCAACCACCGCCCACACCTGGTCCACAACCCCACGTGTCAACCACCGCCCACACCTGGTCCACAACCCCACGTGTCAACCACCGCCCACACCTGGTCCACAACCCATGTGTCAATTCACCGCCCACACCTGGTCCAAACCCATGTGTGAACCACCGCCCACACCTGGTTCAAAACCCATGTGAATCCACCGCCACACCTGGTCCAAAACCCATGTGTGGACTGCCCACACCTGGTCCACACAGCCCATGTGAACCACGCCCACACCTGGTCCACAGCCCATGTGTGAACCACCGCCCACACCTGGTCCACAGCCCATGTGTGAACCACCGCCCACACCTGGTCCACAACCCATGTGTGAACCACCGCCCACACCTGGTTCAAAAACCCATGTGTGAACCACACTGCCCACACCTGGTCCACAACCCATGTGTGAACCAGCGCCCACACCTGGTCCACAGCCCATGTGTGAACCACTGCCCACACCTGGTCCACAGCCCATGTGTGAACCAGCGCCACACCCGGTCCACAGCCCATGTGTGAACCACCGCCCACACCTGGATCCACAACCCATGTGTGAACCACCGCCCACACCTGGTCCACAGCCCAAGGTGAACCACTGCCCACACCCTGTCCACAGCCCATGTGTGGGTTAGCGCCCACACCTGGTCCACAGCCCATGTGAATTCCACTGCCCACACCTGGTCCACCAAGATCCTACACGTTAGCATATAGATCAAGTGTTTCATGACGGCAGGTAAGGCGGCCAGGTGAGGGCGTCGGGCAAGGGAGGGAGGGAGGTAACCATGGAGGGAGGGAGGGAGGTAACCATGGAGGGAAGGAGGGAGGTAACCATGGAGGGAGGGAGGGGCGTAACCATGGAGGGAAGGAGGGAGGGACATATCTAGGGAGAGAGGGAGGGAGGAAGGAAGGAGGGGCGAAAGAGGGAAGTAGAGAGGGAAGTAAGGGGGGGGGGTTGTCGTTAGAGAGAGAGGCGCCTGGTCACACACACACTCAATGAACAATACACTGAGCCTGAACACTGAACAAAGAACAAACACCATAACAAAACAGACAAAACACCACACAGGGAGTCACATGAACTATAACCTAACCTAACCAACCAACATGTTACAGTTAATCCTCTATTTAACGGCCTATATAAGAGGTTAGTCCGTTAAATCGAAGTCCGTTATATGGAGGTTTCAATATACCAGAGGAAAAAAACACACGCTTCAATAACATAACATAAGAACATAAGAACATAAGGAGTCTGCAATAGGCCGGTTGGTCTGTGCATGGCAGCTCCTGTCGAGAGTTACTACCACTCTCTATCATCCATGAATCTATCCAGCCTCCTTTTAAAACTTTCCAGCGTTCCAGCACTTACTACAAAGTTCCCAAGCTTGTTCCACTCGTCCACCACCCTATTTGTGAACCAGTTCCTTCCTATCTCCCTCCTAAACCTAAACTTATCCAACTTAAATCCGTTGCTACGAGTCCTATCCTGCTCGGATATTATAAGAACTTTATCTATATCCCCTTTATTGATTCCTTTCACCCACTTAAATACTTCTATCATATCTCCCCGCACTCTTCGTCTTTGTAGGGAATGCAAGTTAAGTTTCTTTAACCTATCCTGATATGGAAGGTTTCTAAGTCCCGGAATCATTTTCTTCATTCTTCGCTGCACCGACTCTAGTGAATTTATATCCATTCTATAATAGGGGCACCAGAACTGAACCGCATAATGGAGGTGCGGCCTGTCTAGCGCAAGATATAGTTGCAATAAGACCTCTGCACTCTTGTTACTTACACTTCTAGATATAAAACCCAATACTCTATACTGAACCTAAACAACATTATACACCCCCCCTTCCCCACACCACCAGCAGGTATGGAAGACACTCATCTTAACACCATCTTGGAGGGCCTCAACGACGACCTTATATGACCGCTGTAATACTAAAGTCAGTCCTCAGTAGTGGTACTTATGTGTCAGGGAGGGTGGTCAGGGAGAGTCAGGGTGGGTCAGGGCCTGGTGTGTGTGTGTGTCTGTGTAAGGGAGGGTCAGGGCCTGGAGAGTGTGTGTGTGTCAGGGAGAGTCAGGTCCTGGAAGGTGGGTCAGGGTGGGCAGGGAGAGGTGGGGTACCGGGTCCCTCACCACTGCTGGACGTCCGGACTCACATTAGACGCATCCTCCGCCGCCACCACCAGGTACTTGTTTGTGCTGGACCTGTGATTGGTGGGTGAGACAGGTCCTTTGTTGTGATTGGTGGGTAAGATAGAGTCCCTTTCTATGATTGGTGGGTAAGATAGAGTCCTTTGATGTAATTGGTGGGAAAGATAGAGTCCTTTTCTCTAATTGGTTGAGTGAAAGTGAGGCTGGAACTTGTGATGACTCAACACTTCTACACAATGTGGTGTCCCTCACTCACTTCTCCCTCACTCTCACCTCCCTCACTCACTTACACCTGCCCACACACACACACACACCCTCCCCCCCCACACACACACCCCCTCCCCCACACGCACACACACCCTCCCCACACACACGCACACACACACTCCTCCCCCACACACACACGCACACACTCCCCACACACACATATTTCCCCACACACGCACTCATTAAACTAGCTCAACGAACGAACGTGTATTCACCTAAAACCAATATTTTGAGAGACTTTTAATGACTGATAACTCTATTTACCCCACGAGCCGCCATAACTAGCGGGTAATACTCGTGACGCGTGGCCGGAGGAAGAGTGTGGGTCCCTGTCTTTATTTAATTTACTCCTTTCTAATGTAGTGGTGATGTTACTTGTATGTTAGATTATTTGTTTATGTGTTTGTCCATTCATTTATTTACTCTCTCTTTCTTTCTCTCTTT